CGAGTACCACGCTGACCTTTTTATTTAATAGGGCAAAAAATGAGATGGGCATCATAGCTGGATGATACAAACTTTTATGAAATTAAAAAAAAAAAACAATGGACAACTTTTCTTCTTAATGTCGAATCTTTTTAGAGTTCTCTATTTTAATTATGCTCTTATTTCTGTGAAACGAAAATATCACCATTGAATTCGATTTCCAAGTGGGCTCGAATTTACTTCCTTTTTTTAAACCTGAGACAGTTTTTCGAACAGAAATTTTGGGAACTGGAAACTAAGGTGCGTGTCTTTTACGGAGATACAATTTTCGAAAAATTTTCGATCAAAATCTAAGGTGCGCATCTTAATCAGGAACGCAGTATTGGAGTAAATACGATATAACCAACATTTTAATGGGATGAATGCAGATTCAAAAATTCACGGAATAAGGAAGTTGCATGTCTAAAAAAAAGTTAGAAAATCGTCTGAAGAAAATGTCCTTGCCTTTTTCCCCTTATCGGGCTTTTTGCATCCGGGTCATTTTCCCGTAACCAGGTTTCTTTCCATTCGTCGGTCTTAATTTAGTTGAAGATTAATGTACACTCTTTCATATGATGAGTGTGGCCGCATATTCGCAAATTTTTCGACTAATACAAATCACACCCAGGAATTTACACGCATCTTTATTTTTCGTGGTAGAATTTTGCCTATTATAGAGTAAATATAGTACTGTACTGCTTGTGTCTGTTTTTCTTTTTAAAATCCCAGTCGGGTTTCTTTCTCTGGCAGATGAAAATAAACGAAATAATGAAGCAATTTCGCAGTGTAGCCCGAGGTTATAATGCACCTGCATGTCCAATGATCGTAAACCCTTAGATATTCTTCGCGTTGTTCCAGTACAGCAGACTTTATTAATACAAAACATGAAATAAAATCAAATAGCTGCCTTTCATCTTCTTTATTCGACGCATACACAGCTTTATTCCTGGCACAATTTTCTTGAAATTAGAAAAAAGTCATCTTTTTTTGTGGGTGGGCGTCTATATCCGGGGTATACTCATATGTGATGAGGTAATAACATGTTCAGTCGTATGTAGTGACGGATTGTATGTGCATGTCGGATATTGCCATTCAATCATTTTTTGGCCGAGTTCAGAATGTGTATTGTAAGTCATGAAAAAACTGTGTGTTATATGCGTCATGATGCTGAGTGCAGCATGAATCAAGCAGCAGAGTGAGGATAGTTGAAATTATTCATGGGATTTAGTCTTGCACTCACTGCCGTTCGAGGCATATAATTTTAATGTACCGCGACGATGTCTTCTAAGAAATTTTTAGAATTTTTTCACGCCTTGGTTGGAACAAAGAGAAAAAATGGCTGGGAGTGCTTTCCGACTGTTACAAAAGAAAAACTGTGGTCCACTCACTCGAAATGCATGTTTCATGAGTTTTTGGGTGGTCAAAGTGCACGGACTGAACGAAAAATTACCGCAGGGAAATGGAAATATAATTTTAATGGAATATAATGGATAAGGACCAAAATTAGCATCAATTGTATTTTTCCTGAGAAAGAAAAATAGTTAACCCGAAGCCAGTTTTTTAAATTTTGCTTTGCTCGAAAACGTGTATAGTAGGAGCAAAATTTTCCTTTTCTCGTTCTCTTCGTTCGAGTCAGATTTTTTCGTGCGTTTTTTTTTTTTTTTTTTTTTTTAAATAAAAATTTTTTTTTTTTATTGTTTTTTTTTTTTTTTTTTTTTTTTTTTTTTTTTTTTTTTTTGCCAAAATACAACTTATTATTTACGCGATCTTTAACCCTATTTTTCCTCCCAGGATATATGAGCTGAAATTTTCGTTTGGCCTAACTTTATTTAAACTCGGAATCACATGGGAACAGATCACGTCAAGAGAAAATATTCTTGGCAAAAATTCCGCGTAAAAAAATAAATAAGATGAGATTTTCCGCAATATAGGTGGTTGTTAAGTTAGCTTGTTTGTGTATACATCGGGAAAATATCATCGAGCGCATGTTATCTTTTATTACGGTATATGCAAAAATTACTTACGGTAAGTTAAACTGTCAGATGAAGACCAAATGCGATTAATATTTCATGTATTGACATGGTTGCCTTTTTTTCTGCTTCGTAACTTTGCTTTTATTCAGCACATGTAGATGTTTTCCTGAAATTACTTCAAAAGAAACACGGTAAACCGATTATATCCACTAGAATAAATGCATTTAATTTGTTTTCCAAAATTCAGGTACGGATTATACTTGAGTTATTATAATTTACACCCCATCGCTGTCAAACCTAATTATAAAAATCTTACAAACGCAAGAGGAATTCCATGGTCTCTGGTATTCTGTCTGTTGAACCTTAATAACTCAAACCTCCCTAAGTCGAATGCAGTACATGATTGTGCCATTTTTTTCTTGTGCCTTTCTGAATTACTGTACATTGGAAACAATGCATTGAAAACGTCCCTATACTCCCTAACTCGAATGCTTTCTCCTCAAGCCTCCTTACGCATTTTCTGGATGTTTTCTTGGATATTCTTTCATTGGCATACGCTGGAATTTCTTTTAAAAATTAGAAAGGTTGGCTTGAATAAATTTTTCTAAGAAGGAAAGATTAAAATAATTTATTTCAGCAAGTGAAAATTCATCTGAAGCGTTATTATGAGAAAAGCCAAATTTTATTTTTCATCAGATACATTCAAACTGCCAATGTCTTTCTGAAGTTTCAGATAAAGATAGCAAGCAGACTTCTTTGCTACTTTTTATGAATTTATCATACCTGGAAATTTTCCTGCGGACCTGACAAAAAAATTCCTGCAGATTGGCGCCAGTCCGCGGACCTGGGGCATTGGGAACACTGTTATAGAGCATTATATAGAGCACATTAAACTTGAGCCGTAATGTTCCCTTGTATTCTACAGTACAGTATGTGTCTCTTGTTCATTGCCTGTATCCTGACATGTTTTGTGCTGTCACTGCTCCCTTTCGCCTTTCGTTCGTTGAGGACAGGCAATAAAAGCGACGCGCAGGAGACTTTCCGTGATCTTATTCTTGTTTCGGAAGCAGGATTACATATAGTTTCCGAGCCGGATTTATTCCGCTGGGAAACCGTTTATTCTTTACAAACGATGACACAAGGGAAAAGGATGAAACATCATGCATCCAGAAGCAATAACGACACACGATCATGTCATTTAAAAGTATCAAATTGAAATGGTGTGTATCTCTCGAAAACTTGATATTATCCACTGATTTTTCACAATTGATGAGGATGCGTTGTTCCAGAAAAATTCAAGAAGGTCGCAGAAAATTTTATGAAAACGTAACTTTCGGACAGTTGAAAAAGCTTCCTGGCACATAATCCTTTGAGATCCGGACACACTACGTTTGCGTGCTCCTGTGAAAAATTAAAAATTTGCGTGTAATTCAACCGTGGATATCTCCTAAATTAGGAGTTCAGCACTAATAAACAAGTAAAGCATTCATTCAATTGCTTTCGCAATGGTTTTTTTATTATTCTGAGAATCTGAGGTACATCCGTGTGGCTCTCCTGCCCGTAAAAGCCCTCTTGAAAATGTTCGTATTTTATTTAATTAATATTCTGTAGATATTCGGAAAATTGAAGAGAAAATTTTAGCTGTTTCTGATGGATGATAACGAGTCTTGGGGGCAAGATTTGAAAATATGAGATAGCACTAGAAAACTTTTTTCTAGAAAACTATTATCTAGAAAACTATTTTCTAGTGCAATTTTCTGACGAAGCGGTCATGGGTGTGATGACGAGTAATACGAAGCAGCACAGCAAAAAAAACTAAATCATTTGAGAAGGCATTGAATGAGTTCGGTTCCATGTTGTTTTCTTTTTGAATGGCTGTTTTATAGGGATCTAGTTTAGGTCTCTAGGATATTTCACAGCATAATAGAAGGTTGTAATTCATCCAAAGGGATATCAGTCGGATGCATGTAAGTATACACGAAAAATCGTCAGCCCAGCTTCACAAGCGAATAAATATTGAAGAAAAATGTCATGAAACCACTATACAGAGCAGTACTGAACATTATTTCATAGAATTTAATCCTGTAGTATTGTACAACCACATGAAAACTATCACGCGTTTCGAAAGGTGAATTAGGTGATGATATGGATTGAACTTCTTCATGGATAGAAAAATTATTTTGGGAGCACCGTTGAAAACCTGTGTGGAAGTGTGGGAATACTCCTCTGGATTTCATGTACGTCCAACACATTAAAATTTTGGGCATTATTACAGCAGCTGTCATATACTGTACTGGGCAACATGTTTGCTGCAACTTGTGTTCTGGTATCAAATGTGAAGTTTTATTCGGATGTACCCCACATGAGCGTCACTTTCGATGACCTAGCTGGTCAGCTAGATTTCGTGAGTACCACAATGAAAAAAAATATATAAAACAGCATAATTGATACTGCATGCGATACAAGTAACAAAATTTTCAACATCATTGCAGTCACATCTACCGCTTTTTGAATTGAACGCTGCTTCATGCTGGTTCCCCGAATTCAAAAATGCTGTCTAGTGCAGCACATTATACTGCACAGTATATGAATTCATTATTAAAATCATGGTGATATTTTCCGCTAATCTGTGCATACATTATTTTCCTGCCAACCCTGATCATTTCTATAAGCACACGGTTGAATGTTGCTTTATATTTAGAACAGTACAGTACATTACTGTACTCTGAACTGTTCAGCGAAGGAGACGTGTTCATTATTCAAGATACAGTAACAGATGCCACACCAACAATTTTAGAGAGTCGGTTCATTGTGCTGCTTATAGATGTCACTTGTACATCGGGTCCCGGCTGGGTCAATCAAACAATAGCGCGGAACTGACAACGTGAGTTTCTATCTGTTGAATTTCGTGGAGTGCTGGCCCTGAGGAAGGGGACCTGCCTTACTAACTCGTAAGTCTTTGATGCTCTGCCCTGCAGATTTCTGTTGGTGTGCTATTTCCGTTGTACAATGCCTGGAAGAGTGAAAGTGCGAATTGTTGCCGGTCGAAACCTTCCTGTAATGGATCGCACGAATGAGACGACTGATGCCTACGTTGAGGTTCGCTTCGGCTCGACCACGTACAAAACGGAAGTTTGCCGGAAAACATTGTCACCGCAGTGGAATTCCGAGTGGTTTCGTTTTGAGGTACGGCACTAGAAA